AATTCTCTTCAAGATAAAATAAAATTCAATCATTTATCTTGAATAGTTTCTGAGATATTGAGCCTCAAATTTAAAACTTTGTCTCAAATTTTGGAAAACCTTCAAAGCCGATTATCTCGAAAACGAAGCCCTAGGGCTCAGTGCCTCAAATAACCTTTTTTGAAACCCCAATCGAGATCTACATTGGGACCAAATTTTGTGCCGATAGCTTTTCTGGTTTCCAACATATGGCCCTTTGAAATATTTAAAAATGAAATTTCCTTGCATTAGAGTATTTGCTGCAAATCAAAAAATCTCCTCATCAAGCCCTCCAATCTGAACGTGACCGGAATAAATAACCTGCTTTGACTCGAAATTATCAGTTAATCCGATAAATTAATCAAATCGATTTGTGTGTCCTACAAAATCGTCTCTTCGGCCTACTCTATTATTAAAGATGCACTCAACGCTGGCAGATCCCTACTTCCATTAATAAAGGGCACATTTTTGATAATTAGGGCCAAAATTTTTCGAGAACAAATTCCGCAAATGGATATTGTATGTGTGCCAAAAACACACACACACAAAAGAGAGTATTATCATACACATTAGCCTCGGGGCTTTGGCAACCGAGTATCGGGACTTCATTACCGGCTTCAGAGTCAGGGCGGGTGCGGAATATGCAATAACCCTCTTTAGTTTGCTAGAGGTAACACATCGTAAAGCTCCGGGACGCAAATCCGAGCTTGTCTTTGGCGCTAATGATCATCAATATGCATCGGATGTCCCTTTTACGCAAGCCATTTTCAATCTAATTAACACTTAAGCCGAGTGTATATTTAAGCAATTTTTGATTTTACGTAGGGTAGTTTAAAATTCCTTATACCCGGAGAGCCTATAAAGAAGAAGCGGCTCGAATTAGCTGCTACACATACGAAGTGAGGCCGAATTACCATATATTGTGGCTTTAAGACTGCGATCCGGGACTTCATTAGGGGACGTTTGTCGGGAACGGAATAAGCAATAACCAGGATCGTTCTCGCATTTTCGATTCGTCAAATGAGGACTTGAATTTAAGGAAAATTTCAACAGTGTGTTCAATTTTAATGGCATGCAAACGTTCCAGGATTTGAACTCAGGACCCTCGCATATCCAGTGTACCGCTCTACCGACTGAGACTGTGAAGACCAACGGTAACCTTTGGCAGTTAGGTACCATTGGTATGGGAATGAGTAGGAAGGTATAAGCGGAACACATTCACAAATAATGGTTGTTTGGAATCCATTATCCCTTCAACCACGGATACGTTGTTGACATATAGCGACATCAGCAGGCATCGGGATGGGACGCTCAACCATCAATATCAAGCCAATAATTTTCAACCTTTGGCGGTTACCGTTGGTTTGGGAGTAAGTTCTATTAGACTTCACCAATTTTCACCATCTGATTAACATGACTTCGGAGTAACAGATTGATTTTAAACTTTCAGGATTTATTAACTAGTATGTTTTCATCAAACAAGGCAAATTTGAAGTCACTTTGAAGTATAGAAATAAAATTATGAGGTTTTCTCAAACTTAATATCTACCAGAAAAAGTAGGAAAATTCACGTTAAATCACCTTTGAAAAATCCTGAAAAATACTTCGGAGTAGGTATCAGATCGACTTCAAACTTTCAGGATTTATTAACTAAGATTTTTCCATCAAACAAGGCAAATTTGAAGTCAATCTGAAGCGTAGAAATAAAATTATGAGGTTTTTTCCAACTTAATACCAGAAAAAGTAAGAAAATTCATGTTAAATCACCTTTGAAAAATCCTGAAAAATACTTCGGAGTATCAGATCGATTTCAAACTTTCAGGATTTATTAACTAAGATTTTTTCATCGAACAAGACAAATTTGAAGTCAATCTGAAGTGTAAAAATGAAATTATGAGGTTTTTTTCCAACTTAATACCAGAAAAAGTAAGAAAATTCATGTTAAATCACCTTTGAAAAATCCTGAAAAATACTTCAGAGTATCAGATCGACTTAAAACTTTCAGGATTTATTAACTAAGATTTTTCCATTAAACAAGGCAAATTTGAAGTCAATCTGAAGCGTAGAAATAAAATTATGAGGTTTTTTCCAACTTAATACCAGAAAAAGTAAGAAAATTCATGTTAAATCACCTTTGAAAAATCCTGAAAAATACTTCGGAGTATCAGATCGACTTAAAACTTTCAGGATTTATTAACTAAGATTTTTCCATCAAACAAGGCAAATTTGAAGTCAATCTGAAGCGTAGAAATAAAATTATGAGGTTTTTTCCAACTTAATACCAGAAAAAGTAAGAAAATTCATGTTAAATCACCTTTGAAAAATCCTGAAAAATACTTCGGAGTATCAGATCGACTTAAAACTTTCAGGATTTATTAACTAAGATTTTTCCATTAAACAAGGCAAATTTGAAGTCAATCTGAAGCGTAGAAATAAAATTATGAGGTTTTTTCCAACTTAATACCAGAAAAAGTAAGAAAATTCATGTTAAATCACCTTTGAAAAATCCTGAAAAATACTTCGGAGTATCAGATCGACTTAAAACTTTCAGGATTTATTAACTAAGATTTTTCCATCAAACAAGGCAAATTTGAAGTCAATCTGAAGCGTAGAAATAAAATTATGAGGTTTTTTCCAACTTAATACCAGAAAAAGTAAGAAAATTCACGTTAAATCACCTTTGAAAAATCCTGAAAAATACTTCAGAGTATCAGATCGACTTAAAACTTTCAGGATTTATTAACTAAGATTTTTCCATTAAACAAGGCAAATTTGAAGTCAATCTGAAGCGTAGAAATAAAATTATGAGGTTTTTTCCAACTTAATACCAGAAAAAGTAAGAAAATTCATGTTAAATCACCTTTGAAAAATCCTGAAAAATACTTCGGAGTATCAGATCGATTTCAAACTTTCAGGATTTATTAACTAAGATTTTTTCATCGAACAAGACAAATTTGAAGTCAATCTGAAGTGTAAAAATGAAATTATGAGGTTTTTTCCAACTTAATACCAGAAAAAGTAAGAAAATTCATGTTAAATCACCTTTGAAAAATCCTGAAAAATACTTCAGAGTATCAGATCGACTTAAAACTTTCAGGATTTATTAACTAAGATTTTTCCATTAAACAAGGCAAATTTGAAGTCAATCTGAAACGTAGAAATAAAATTATGAGGTTTTTTCCAACTTAATACCAGAAAAAGTAAGAAAATTCATGTTAAATCACCTTTGAAAAATCCTGAAAAATACTTCGGAGTATCAGATCGACTTAAAACTTTCAGGATTTATTAACTAAGATTTTTCCATCAAACAAGGCAAATTTGAAGTCAATCTGAAGCGTAGAAATAAAATTATGAGGTTTTTTCCAACTTAATACCAGAAAAAGTAAGAAAATTCATGTTAAATCACCTTTGAAAAATCCTGAAAAATACTTCGGAGTATCAGATCGACTTAAAACTTTCAGGATTTATTAACTAAGATTTTTCCATCAAACAAGGCAAATTTGAAGTCAATCTGAAGCGTAGAAATAAAATTATGAGGTTTTTTCCAACTTAATACCAGAAAAAGTAAGAAAATTCATGTTAAATCACCTTTGAAAAATCCTGAAAAATACTTCGGAGTATCGGATCGATTTCAAACTTTCAGGATTTATTAACTAAGATTTTTTCATCGAACAAGGCAAATTTGAAGTCAATCTGAAGTGTAGAAATAAAATTATGAGATTTGTTCCAACTTAATACCAGAAAAAGTAGGAAAATTTATGTTAAATCACCTTTGAAAAATCCTGAAAAATACTTCGGAGTATCAGATCGATTTCAAACTTTCAGGATTTATTAACTAAGATTTTTCCATCAAACAAGGCAAATTTGAAGTCAATCTGAAGCGTAGAAATAAAATTATGAGGTTTTTTCCAACTTAATACCAGAAAAAGTAAGAAAATTCATGTTAAATCACCTTTGAAAAATCCTGAAAAATACTTCAGAGTATCAGATCGACTTAAAACTTTCAGGATTTATTAACTAAGATTTTTCCATCAAACAAGGCAAATTTGAAGTCAATCTGAAGCGTAGAAATAAAATTATGAGGTTTTTTCCAACTTAATACCAGAAAAAGTAAGAAAATTCATGTTAAATCACCTTTGAAAAATCCTGAAAAATACTTCAGAGTATCAGATCGACTTAAAACTTTCAGGATTTATTAACTAAGATTTTTCCATCAAACAAGGCAAATTTGAAGTCAATCTGAAGCGTAGAAATAAAATTATGAGGTTTTTTCCAACTTAATACCAGAAAAAGTAAGAAAATTCATGTTAAATCACCTTTGAAAAATCCTGAAAAATACTTCAGAGTATCAGATCGACTTAAAACTTTCAGGATTTATTAACTAAGATTTTTCCATCAAACAAGGCAAATTTGAAGTCAATCTGAAGCGTAGAAATAAAATTATGAGGTTTTTTCCAACTTAATACCAGAAAAAGTAAGAAAATTCATGTTAAATCACCTTTGAAAAATCCTGAAAAATACTTCAGAGTATCAGATCGACTTAAAACTTTCAGGATTTATTAACTAAGATTTTTCCATCAAACAAGGCAAATTTGAAGTCAATCTGAAGCGTAGAAATAAAATTACGAGGTTTTTTCCAACTTAATACCAGAAAAAGTAAGAAAATTCATGTTAAATCACCTTTGAAAAATCCTGAAAAATACTTCGGAGTATCGGATCGGTTTCAAACTTTCAGGATTTATCAACTAAGATTTTTTCATCGAACAAGGCAAATTTGAAGTCAATCTGAAGTGTAGAAATAAAATTATGAGATTTGTTCCAACTTAATACCAGAAAAAGTAGGAAAATTCATGTTAAATCACATTTGAAAAATCCTGAAAAATACTTCAGAGCATCGGATCGATTTCAAACTTTCAGGATTTATTAACTAAGATTTTTTCATCGAACAAGACAAATTTGAAGTCAATCTGGAGTGTAGAAATGAAATTATGAGGTTTTTTAATACCAGAAAAAGTTGGAAAATTCATGTTAAATCACCTTTGAAAAATCCTGGAATCAAAATACGTGCCAAAAACAACGTTACAAACTATCTACATATTATTATTGTTGCTGACCCAAAATCGTTATCATATCATACAAATAAATAATAGACTAAAAAAACAAACTACTTCTGAACTACAAAAAGATTATTAGTGATATAATTTAAGTAGGTAGGTACTTCAATCAATTTCCTTTATATATATATATAGGTATAATGCAATTGTCTTGGTTATAAACTATTCAAATAATATTTAAAAATCACCATTGCATCATAACATGAGGTTTTTAGTAGTTTTGAGTGTAATTTGTTTTGCGGTAAGTAAAACTAAGAAACAGAGTATTTTTAATCTCAGGGTACCTACATAATGGCATTTATCTATATATATATATATGCTACAATATAACATTATCCAATCAGCTTGGTGATGACTTAACCGTCCAAACCAACTATGGCCGAGTAAAAGGCAGAACTCAATCTATGCTGGACGGAAGCTTCTATTACGCCTGGCAAGGTATTCCGTACGCTTCACCTCCGACCGGAAGTCTCAGATTTCAGGTGAGACTTTTCATATTTATAAACGTGCATCATAAATCTTCAGATTATAATCCATTGAAGGCTCCTCGTGCTCCGGCAAGCTGGAACGGCGCAAAGGCCGCAACCAAAGACTCCAACGCTTGTTACCAAGTAAAAACCGACTCGCCCAACGAAAACGAAGATTGCCTTTACCTCAACGTGTTTTCGCCGGCAAACTACAAGTCTGCCAATGGCTTACCGGTTATATTTTGGATTTACGGCGGAGCATTTAGAGGTGGCTCTTCTAATTTCGCATCCACCGGTCCTGATTGGTTCGTCCAACAAGGAGTTATCGTTGTTACACACAATTACAGGTACCAAATGATTACTCAGAGTAAATTTCCCGCGTTCGAAAAGGGAAATTTATTCTGAGTAACTCTTCCCATTAGAGTTGGACCATTTGGATTCCTATCAACAGGCGACAAGGTAGTACCGGGCAATGCCGGCCTCAAAGATCAAGCGTTTGCCCTCAAATGGACTTACGAAAATATCGCTGGCTTTGGAGGCGATCCAAATAAAATCGTTATTGCTGGAGAAAGCGCTGGCTCGGCTTCAGTTGGTTACCAACTATTAAGCCCCAAAAATAAAGGTATATGAAACATCTCAAGCCCAAATGACATATTGAACATTAATTTCTAGAAAATTTAAAATTAAGGAAAATTGGTGGATTAAAAATTTTTTGGTCCTGGACGGGAATCGAACCCGCGACCTCAGCCTTGCCGGTGCTACGCTCTAACCGTTAGAGCGTAGCACCGGCAATGCTGAGGCCGCGGGTTCGATTCCCGTCCAGGACCAAAAAATTTTCCTTAACTTTCTCTTCATTTTCAATTTTCCACGCTTTTCGGTTGTTGTAACCGATAAAAAAAACTTCATTAATTTCTAGGTTTGTTCCGTGGTGCTATTCAACAAAGCGGTTCTCCGTTAAATGAGTGGGCCTTTATGGCCAATCCGGAATCTTATGTTGAGAGTTTGATTCAAACTATTGACCCTAAGGCTAAGGTTGGAAGCAAAAGCTCAGAACAGTTATTGTATTTGCAAGGCCTTAGTGCTAAAACTATTGATTTGGCTTCGAAATCTACCAATCCGGTACTACATTTAGTATAAATCGCCCTTTAAGTAACCAAAATCCTTCTATACTTAATTCTAGTCTTTGGCATTACCAGTTATCGAACCTGAACACGACAATGCCTTTATAACAGAAAAAATGTATGAAGCTTTCGAACAAGGCAACTATAACCAAGTACCTGTACTGATTGGGCACAATTCTGAAGAAGAAGTTTTCATTTTGAGATGTGAGGCGTTTTGATTGGTTGAAATATATACGAGTATTTGGTTTTCAATTGTAGCTCATGCATTTGTTAGACAATTAGGACAAGGTTTTGACTCGAATCCGTTGAGCACCCTTCCAGCTAACGTGCAAATTGCTAATAAAAGGGATTTGGCCAATCAAATTAAGGCGATTTATCTTAAACAAGATGAGCTTTTTGTTAATCGACAAGATGTCGTTATAAGGGTATGAGTAGTAGTAGAAGTAGAATAGGGTACTTGTATAAGATTTTTATATAAATTCAACTTTTGTCTATTCCTGGCTCTTGCTTGGACTAATCTGGAGTGATTGAATTGTTCTTGAAACTTAATAAAGAGCCAGGAATAAGCAGAAGTTGAATTTTTATAAAATATCAAACTCAGAACGCAAATTTTTCTGAATGTTTGAGTAAATGAGTCTTGAGATTTGTGTACTTGTATTTCCAGTTTAAAAGTGACAGCGCATTTACCAGAGGCATAATCAAACAAGGAGAACTAATGTCAAACTACGCCAATGTATATTTCTACGTGTTTTCTTACGATGGAACATTAGGTGGCTGGGATAAATATATTGATGGTATATACAGTCTGGACCAACCTACTAGACACATAAGATAAATCAGAGTTGCCGCTCCCTTCTAATAAAGTACAAAACTTTAACGTATGAGGACCGTGGTAAAGATGAAGGAAGGACCACACATCTGTAGAAACGTCACAAAGGTATGGGCATTTAACAATAAATCCCTGGTTTGTGCGTCAATCGTTCGTCGGCTGTCATTGTCATTGGCTGTCTCTCTCCGTTCCTCTACGTTATTTTTTTTTTCGGTCTCGTGTAACGAAATTTGCCAAAACTTGACGCGTCTTGAGATTACTCTCCATTCTCGTCCAAACAGCAGATCGCCGCCTAAGAAGTTTCCCTTCCAAAAAGCGAGTTTTCATAATGTGCAAACCTCGATTGCTGGGTAACCGTTGGGCAAATTGCATTAAAATTTTCAGCAATTGTAGCTTTCAATAAGCTCTAAATGGCCTGCCATTTACAATATTCCCAGATTTATAGTTTTTGAGCAAATTGAGTTTAAGTTTTTGACAAAATTTGGACTCAAAGTCAAATTTAAGGCTCAATTGCTCAGAATCTATTTGAGCAATTTTACACGGATTTATAGAGAATTTCATGCTCTTTCCAATGGTGTATAATTTATTTCAATTTGCTTGAAATTTAATAAAGATATGGGCAATTGTTCATGACCATGTCAATATTTTGAAAATTTTCCAGAGCCAAAAATATAAGTTTCTTTTTATTTTTGTTTCTACTTAAAATGGCCAGTTGGAATTGATGTCAGGGTTGTTTACCTCTAATTTTAACCTGCTTTATCAATTGATAAAGTCAAAATTGAGCAAAACTGAAAAATAGAAAAATCGAGTTTTTCATAAGGGTGAATCCTGATTTCAAAATATTCAAATCTCAATTGCTCAGTAACCGTTGAGCACATTGCATTGAAATTTTCAACATTTGTAGCTTCTATCAAGCTTTAAATGGTCTGTAATTTTCAATATTCCCAGATTTATAGTTTTTGAGCAAATTGAGTTTGAAGTTTTTGACAAAATTTGGTCAACTTTGAGGCTCAATTGCTCAAAAACTATTCGAGCTATAAAACTCAATTTTGCACGGATTTATAGAGAATTTAATGCTCTTTCCAATAGTATATAATTAATTTCAATTTGCTTGAAATTTAATAAAGATATGGGAAATTCTTCATGACCATGTCAAGATTTTGAAAATTTTCCTACGCCAAAAATATGATTTTCTTGTTATTTTTGTTTCTGCTTAAAATGGCCATTTGGAATTGATGTCAGGGTTGTTTTCCACTAATTTTGACCCGCTCTATCGAATAATAGAGTCAAAATTGAGCAAAGATGAAAAATAAAAAAATAGAGTTTTTCATAAGGATACCCCCTTTGAATTCTGATTTCAAAATATTCAAACTTCGATTGCTCGGTAACCGTTGAGCAAATTGCATTGAAATTTTTAGCATAGGTAGCTCTTATCAAGCTCTGAATGGCCTGTAATTTACAATATTCCCAGATTTATAGTTTTTGAGCAAATTGAGTTTGAAGTTTTTGACAAAATTTGGACTAAAAGTCAACTTTGAGGCTCAATTGCTCAAAAACAATTTGAGCTATAAAACTCAATTTTACACGAATTTATAGAGAATTTAATGCTCTTTCCAATGGTATATTATTTAATTCAATTTGCTCAAAATTTACCAAAGATATAGGCAATTGTTCCATCTCAAGATTTTGACTAATGATAATGACAGCCGACGAACGGTTGATACAAACCAAGGATTATAAGCAAGGAGGATTACTTATTATTGTCAAGCGCCGATACCCTTGTGACGTCTCTGCAGATGCGCGACACTCATTATGTTGTCCTTCGTCTTTACCTCAACTCAAACGCTTTCTTAAAGTTGAATGAGGGGGATGGTTTTTAAGAAAGTTCCACATCTACCTCATCTACCATGTGTCTAGTAGTCTGGTCGATTTTGTATAACAACTCAGTTAATCAACTTTAACATTTAGGAGCCGAAAACGTCACTCATGGCGAAGATCTGCGTTACATTTGGGTAAGCAGAGGTAGTAAAAGCTCCAATGAAGACTTAACAAAATACCCTAAATCCGACCAAATCACCAGCCAAAGAATAATCAAAATGTGGACCAACTTTGCTAAAAATTTGTAAGTAAATAAGACACTTAATGGCGTATTATTTAAAGCATGGGCTTTAGGAACCCAACCCAATGGGTCAACTGGCCAACTTTCAACGCCAGCCATCAGCAATTTTTGGACATTGGTACCAATTTAGAGGTGAAATCAGTACCGAAATTAACGTATCCTTTGTGGAAAAGAGCTTACGAAACCTACGGTACCAAACCGTACATAACTTATTAATAAATTGAAAAATACATTATTTCTAGTTTTTTACTTATTTGATTTAGCCTTCCCTAGATTATTGTGTCATCATTTTAATCTTGATTAATCGAAGATTGATTATAATTTAAAAAGTGGCACGTTAGGAAAATTCGGCCATTATACTTGAGTTCTTATTGATGAGAGCAAAAATGATTTTGGTACAATTTTTTGTATTTGTAAGCTTAATTTCATTAATATCGGCTTTTAAAAGTAACTTCGACTTAAGTCCATTGAATTTGGACATTAATTATGAAGGAGAAGACATCGATGTTTCAAATTTTTACCTTCAATTTTTATGTGGTGGTGATTTTACAACGAGAAATGTGAGTGATGCGTGTACCAATCAAATGCAAGCTGTTTGTGACAATCGAGAAATATTGCTGGAAAGTAAGTATAGAGTTTTAGATGTTCCTTGACTTTTCCAGAAACTTTCCTGCTGGTTCAGCGAATGATAATTTCTCCAAACTCACTCTTTTTGTTGAATTTTTCTTGAACTGATTACAAATTGTTGCCTGACATGAGGTTTTCAACTCACGAGTCAAAATAGGCCAATTTTCCGGGCTCCTCCCTTCAAAGAACCATATGAGTTTTGTCTTTAGAAGTTCAGGTTTTTGGCCTATTTTCAGTTCCAACTCTATGTAAGTTCAATTTACTTTATCTCCAGACCATGAAGTTCTGGAATTAGAAACTCTACAGCAGTTATTTAGTCTGCTTATTCTTAGATTTCTGCAAATCTTTCAGCGTCATATCGGGAGACTACTCAAACAACTATAAAGGAAGCCCAACGAGTAGATTCATTGGGAAAAAAGAAATATTTCCAAAAATTCAAGAACCTCCTGGAATAGACAAAAATTTAAATAAAATAAAAACTGTTTTAGTGTCAGATGCTTGGTCCAAACTACCATACACAGGCATGATCAGATCAACGAAACAAGATTGGGGAAGTTTTGACCAATGCATCAACATCGATTATCAACCTCCAATTGGCCTTAGAGTTTTAGGCAAATATTGCCTCAACGGCATAGCGATTCCAACCGAAATCAGACCAAATTTAACCATAAACGTAAATATTTGTATTCTCATATGTTTCAACAAATCATCAAGCAAGTTGATTTTAGGATGTTTACTTGCTCTCATACTGTGTTCCTGATTCCTGCAGCGCATCAGATTTAGCAAATTTAATATTCAACGCCAGTAGCCAAACGATTATTTCCAATTTGATCAACGACATATATTGCAGTACAAAAGAAAGCGACAGTACTATAGATACTTCTGGGATAATAGTAGCGTAAGTATCAATCATTCAGCGAGGATTAAAGGCAATATTTTATCGTTTATCACTTTTTAACCGACAGATCGTAAAGCTATAAATTTTTCGGTTGTGGAGATTTATTTAGGGCGAATTTATGGACTTTTGCACTATAATCTCTAATGAACAAGGACGTTATTTGTCTGCGGATTTTTCAAATTTGTATTTGATATACAGATATCATTGTGCATCATTGTGTTATATAGTGGCATAAATAAATTTGGAATTGGATAATCCAGGTAGGTATTCTTTCGATCTGAACAAAATCATTGTAATCACATAAGGATTGTTTATGAGGCGTCAAAAAACAGTTAGTTTTAAAATTAAATGACAATTTTTTGTAACAAAGCTCAAGTGACTTCGATCAGTTTATTCAGATCGAAAGAATACCTCTGGAGTAGTGTCAGGAGATTCTGTGGCTCGATATAAGTCAAGTTTGAAGTATTTTTATCCCTTTTTATATACTAAGGAAGCTTTTATCTATAATATTTAACTTCAACATTAAAACGATGAAATTTCCAAAACATTTTGTTGAGCTTTTGTGTCCTAATGGTTTGCAAATACTAAATTATTCCGAGATTTGGAGCCGGATTCTATGAAAAAATGCACTTAGAAAAATTGATAAATCACCCCAAATTGCTTAACAAGATTTTATTTCTGGAACTATAAGTCCAAATGAGCTGAAATTTTCAGGGATTGTGGTCCTCTATCGGGATAGATTGTAGATTGTTATAGTGGGGTGTTCAGGTTATGGACCTCTCCGCACTGTGACCTGCTTAGATCTATTGTGCTTCACCTTAGATCTAGATTAAGGCTTCCTGGGATTGGTATTTCTCACATATTCCTCGCATCCGCAGCCCTAAAATATAAATTCTCCAGATGGATAAGTCTTCTGCGGCACAATGCTTCGCAATTGCAAAGTATGTGTTCCGTAGACTCAGAGTCTTCTTCACAGAAGCGGCATAAGTCCGATTTTTTAGGTCAGAAATTAAAGAATAAAAAGCGATTTGGCCCCAGATTTTCATCTGCTGTTTGGTAGGTGAATGGTTAACCAATTGGTACGTGAGTGACATATCTCAAAAATCTTATCCGAATTCAGTAGGTAGGTAGTTTGGTAAATTTTGACTTCGACTTGTTTATTTAGACATAAAACAGAAAGAGACCGAAAGGTATCTACCAAACCTCCACTATCCAGTCAAACCGCGGTATAGAATTTGACAGACCAAAACGCCTACCAAAGTTGCTGTGACACCATCATTCTCCCATCCCAAATTGATTGGTACCTGTTTGACAGACTAAACTGGGGTACCAAACCGAGGCGAAATCGCCTTAAAAGACATTTGTCATTTTGGGGGAGACATGTCCACTTTCACTCAAATATCAGGGAATACTTTCTCAGTGAGATTTCAAGAATAGCCACACTGTAGTTTTGAGGGCATTACTGTCTTCTTGTGGTTGGAGGATATTTCTATCATCATCTGGGTGGTTTTCATTTTCAGGTTCTATATTTGTTGCTTCACAATTGGGCTAACCTGCAAGTTAGGAAATGAAATGTCATAGATTTGTCATGTCATGTGGTCATTCAACACAGAACGTCATTCAAATCAAACCTTGTTGGGTTATAGTGGCTGAGTTCGTTTTTGTCATCTTTTTCGTCGATTTGCTCCGAATTTTTGACAGGCACGTGAATAGATAAGACAGTTTCAATTTACAAATCACGTGCCTGTCAAAATTTCGGAGCAAATCGACGAAAAAGATGACAAAAACGAACTCGGCCAGTATTCGTAATCTGTTTTCTGACCATAAAATGAAGTCCTGTGTCCAATAAATAAAAACATAACATATTTTGGCGACGAGTTAGTGACTCTGAATTCATTTTACATGAGTAGTGTATTTATTATGGCAATAATAGGAAACATAGAACCATTATCCGGAATATTGTGACTTTTTAAGTTGGCTCGAACGTCTGGACCAACTGTTCATTTGTAATGAAGTTCCAGATCAGAGAAAAGTAGCAATGTTCCTAAATTTGTTGGGTGCTATACTTATGAAGTGCTTAAGAATCTTTTGGCACCTGATTTACCCAGCAACAAAGATTTCTTCTCTTTGAAGAATCATTTCAGTCCAGTAACAATTAATATTGTTGAAATATTTAAATTTTATAAGTGCGTACCCAAGATCCAGCTGAGCCAGTGTCATCTTTTATGGTGAAATTGAAAAATGCTGCAAAGTCATAGTCATTTAATACTTTTCTTGATGATGCCTTAAGAGATCGTTTTGTATGTGGTTTGGCATCACCTTTTTATCAAAGAAAATTAATAACTGAAAAAAACTTGACATTTAAGTCAGCTGTGGAATGAGCTCTAAGGGCGAATTCTCATGAGCATAAGTTGACATTTCTGGCGAAATCACGTGATAAAATGTTTGGATTTTATTGGTAAAATATTCGCCATGCTGGAGATTTTACCAATCAAATTACGTGATTATGCCAGAAATGTCAACTTACGCTCATGAGAACTCGCCTTAAGTTTTGAACTAGCAGATAATCAAAAAAAAATCTTGGGTGTTAGCGCAATTTATACAAAAAAGATGTTGGTCAAGGTGCAGGTTCTAGGAAGTTGGTGAGAAATATTAGGCCTGTAGGTAGCCAGAAATGTTTTCGTTGTGGAAGGGCTCTTGGGCCATCTACATGCCCTGTTATGGATTGGAATTGTTTTTCTTGTGGTGTGGAAAAAAGGGCACGTTCCATCAATGTGCCGAGCAAAAAGTCTATATACACGCATATCAGTGCGGAAAATCGATTTTTCCGCACGGCTGTAGGAAAATGACTTTTTGAATGGGGGTTCTGTATTGTGTATCCTCAATTTGTTGAGTGTCTATCAACAATTGTCTGTGGATACCTCTTCTCAGGAATTTTTGACCATCAACACGAATTTTGAGTTGTTAAGATATACTCGGTTAACTTATGGGATAACCAATGCCCCAGCAATTTTTCAAATGACTATGAATAAAATTTCAATTGGTTTGAATGGTGTTATTTGTTACTTGGATGACACTTTGGTCATGAGTCATGGGTAAAAATTTTGCTGACTGTTAGATTAGATTGTGTAAAGGGCGTTTAGGTGATGGACCTCTCGGCACTGCGATCTGAATAGATCTATTGTGCTTCCCCTTTTTCTAGTAGGTTTCCAGGTTGGGACTTTTCGCAAATCTCACTATTTTCCCGAGATTGGTTCGTTTAACATCCGAAGCAGTCAAATGTGTCTGCTCCAGATGGATGAGTCTTCTGTGACATAATGCTTCGCATTTGCAGAGTTTACGTTCGGCAGATTAGGATGCATCTTTGCAGAAGCGACAAAGATCTGATTCAGCTTTACCCATCTTTTTCAGGTGATAGCTAAGAAGGCAGTGGCCGGGTGTCCTCACAATAGCCTCGAGTATGGTTTGCTGAGTTCGAGTAGTTCCTTTGTCTTTGTTAACTTTGGCGAGATGAATTGCTTTGCCTATTGACGCCTGTCTGAGTTCTGGAGTATTGTTCCAATGGGAGGCCTGTTGTGCCTCTATCCATTTTTGAGTTCGGTCCTTACCATGGCTTTTTGTCAGGCCAAAGAAGGTTTCTGGATTGAGGAATGGTGACGCGGCGTCTTCTCTTGCAAGCCGGTCCGCTATTTCATTCGCTTGTATATTTTGGTGCCCTGGTACCCATGTGACTCTATTGCAGTTAGTTTGCCAGTTGCTTTACAAGTTGCTGACAGTCCCAGACTAATCTGGATTTAGTGTCAAAACTGTTAAGAGCCTTAAGTACTGCCTATGACTGTCAGAATTGATGGAGATTCTTGCACCTCGTAGGTCTATTTGAAGACACTTTCTGGCGCAGATTTCTATTGCGTACGTTTCCGCTTGGAATCTGGTGGGGTTTTTTCCTAAGGCTACCGATAGCCTGCAGTTTGGGCCATATACGCCCACTCCGACCCCTTCTTCTGTTTTCGATCCATCTCTGTACCGGATGGATGAACCGTTTGGGAATTTATGTACGATCTTGTCACTTTTGCGGCCTTCTGCGGTCATACTAAAAAGGTAATTTAATTCGCATCTGGGTGGCATTATGTCCACCGGTTTTGTTGGTGTACCATGACATTCCTTAATAATGCTCATATGTCCAACAAGGTTTCTTTCCCTTAGGTTTAGAGACCGTATAACCCATGTAGGCCTCCCTCTTCACTGCAATGTGCAGAGGGTGCTAACTGTTACAAAAATGTGTGTCAGGTGCTGTCTCGAATGGCAGAATATAATGTGAAAATAAACATATCAAAATGTGATTTTTTTTCTGAGTCTTTAAAGTATTGGGGGCATAGGATTGATGTCGAAGGCATACGTAGGTACATCCAACTTCTGAAAAAGTTCCAGCAATTTTAAATGCTCCTGACCCAAAAAACTTAACTGAGCTGAGAGCATTTTTAGGTTTATTAAATTTTTATAATAAATTTCTTCCCATGTTGTCATCGGTCTTGGAATTCTTATACCATGTTTTATTAGAGAAGGGGGTGGAATTTAAATGGGATCCAGCATGTACGGAGGCGTTTTCTGTTAGAAAAAAAATTATTAATAGATATTTAGGTGCTTGTCCATTATGATGCGGTGCAATCACTTAAACTAATTTGTGAGTAAATAGTTTTGATAGACCCATATGGTTTATTTCGGGTACTCTCTCTGAGGCAAAAAGGAATTACTCTCAGCTAGAGAGAATCACTGGCAATTGCTATGGCAATACTGTGCAACTTTTGTATTTACACCTTTCATCTATTTGTAAAGGTGAAGGCTGTAGGCGGGGTATCAATACCTAAAAAAAGCACCCTGTACTTGAACAATAACTTATTATAAGTCTGTTCCAACACGTCAAAAAATCGTCCCATGAACGGTTTCGAAACCACTCAATATACCAATTTTAGTTTCTGCGCAGAATCGTGACGGTACATTGTACGGTTTTCTGCTGTGTTGGAACAAAGCTTATATAAAGTCAGAATTTGTAAGATTATTGACTTTTTGTCAATTGGTCTTTCAACAGGCATTAGTAATGTTACTTTACCAAACTAGTAATATATTGTGACAAGTTATTCAAGTACAAATGAGTGGATTGTTGCGGAACTTATAGGTGGACCTCTGCGGGACGAGCGCAGCGAGTTCCGCAGCCATCTATTCATCAATATGTTGTTTAATTACGATACTGAACTGATCCACTCAAATGTGCGTTATTCTCATTAGTTTAAAAATTACACCTTTCAGGTGAATGTCTTACTTGAACAGTTCAACAGTATATTGGTGAGTAGATGGCTGCGGGACGAGCGCAGCGAGGTTCACCCATAAGTTCCGCAACAATCCACTTATTTCTACTTGAAAATAACCTATTATGTTAAGACAGAATTTGTAAAATTATCTACTTTTTGACAATTCGCCTTTCAACAAGAATTAGTACCTAATGTTACTTTACCAAACTAGTAATTGTGACAAGTTATTCAAGTACAAACGAGTAGAGTGTTGCGGAACTTATGGATGGACCCAGCTATCTATTCACTAATATGTTGTTCAAGTGTAATACTAATCTGATTCACTCAGTTGTGAATTTTTCTCATTAGTTCAAAAACTACACGTTTCAGATGAGTGTCTTATTTGAACAATTCAACAGTATATTGGTGAGTAGATGGCTGCGGAACTCGCTGCGCTCGTTCCGCAGAGGTCCACCCAGAAGTTTCGCAATAATTCACTTATTTGTACAAGGTATTTTTTTATGTATTTTTTTTTTTTTTTTTTTTTTACGGATATGCGCACTCGCAAGGAAATGTCCTATCACGCTCGAGAAGAGGCGAGTGCGCGGAAATGTCGGTGTATGTTGGTCTTGAAACGGTTCAGGTTGTAACCTGCAGGGAAAACCGTTGCAGGGAGTTTATTCCACAGCGATGCTGTTCTCCAGAGATATGAATTCTGATATAATGAGGTTCTTGGTGCCTCTAGTTTGACAGTAAATTCATGGTTACCGTCTGTTAGACGGGTTCGCCTGGTAGGCGCTACTCTCGGTGGAATCATACGTGCCAACTCTTCAGAGCATTTTCCGTGATAGTACCTGTAAAGAGAGATAAATCGCCCACAGATCTGCGATGTTCGAGACCATCCAAGTTACGAGTAAGTGCGGGGTCATTGATCAGCTTGATAGCTCGTTTTTGCACGGTGTTCAAAAGCATTAAGGTATGTTTGGGTGCTGCACTCCATATATGTGAGCAGTACTCCATAGTTGGTCGAATCTGGGCTTTGTAGAGTGTCAGCAATTGGCTTGGTGTGTACAGATGTCTTGTACGAAATAGCACCCCCAGCTTTTGGGACTCCCTTTTAGCAATATCTGCCACGTGACTGTGCCAAGACATGTTGGTATCTGCAGTAACCCCCAAGATGTTCAACTGACTCTGTAATGTAACAGCACTTCCAGATAGCATGATGTTTGGCTCACCGGTGCTGGTCTTTTTTGAAAACAGAGCTGCTTGGGTTTTCTGCGCGTTGAACTGTACAAGGTTTTTGTTACCCCAGTCCTCTATTATCTCCAGGTCGTTATTTATCTGCGATATTTGAGTTAGTCTAAGATGATGGAATTCACGTGCGGAAAGACCTGTGGGTGGTATGAGTGAGGAGACTACATTGCCATCGTCTGCAAAGCAATAAAGTGGATTTACTGTTTTATCTATGAGGTCATTTATGTAAATCAGAAAAAGAGTTGGCGAAAGGATTGCTCCCTGTGGCACACCAACATTTATTTGGTAAGAGTTGGAGCTCTGGCCATCCAGTGCAACATAAATGGATCTGTCCTTTAGGTAACTTTCAAACCAAGTGCAAAGTTTTGGCGATAATCCCATTGCTTTGAGCTTGTTGAGCAGATTTTCATGCCAAACTTTGTCGAATGCTTTAGATATATCTAAGGCAATTGTTCTTGTTTCACCCCGCAACTCAATCGCTTTTTGCCATAAGTGAGTGACGTATGTAAGTAAATCGCCAGTTGACCTATATTTTCGAAATCCGTATTGCTTATCGTTGATAATTTTGTACTTTTCCAAGTACTTGGTTAGGTGATTGTTCACAACTCTTTCCATTACTTTTGATATCACCGGAAGTAGAGCAATTGGTCTATAGTTTAACGGATCTCTCTTTTTTCCTTTCTTTGGAATGGAATGTATTGCCTTTACCTTTACAGGTAGAAGAAAGGTGTAAAAAGGTGTAAATACAAAAGTTTTACAGCTGTATGCAACAGCCTCTTTTAGCTTAAATTTGAATTTTTAGAAACCATAGTCAGAAACAAAATTTGAATGTCAGAAATGTGAAATTTTGCATGCCTTCATTCAAATGGGATGCCCTATATTTGATTCTATATTCTTAAAGAGCACAATGCCTCGATCTATATTTAATTGAGCAATCTTTACTTGGTTTCTCTAATGGTATTTTTAAAATTTTTATAGATCGAAATATGTTGGAGACCGCTCAACCAAATATATAAACAAACTATATAGTTTTGGAATCGGGAAATTGTGCTCTTCGAGAACATAGAACCAAATATAGGGTATCCGATTTGAAAAAAGCTGAAAGCATGCAATATTCCACATTTCTGACATTCAATTTTTCTTTTTGACCATGGATTTTAAAAACTATACACTGTATCCGCTACTAGCAGGTACTTGAAAAGCTAAATTATTAATTTCAATTTTTTCCTGAAAAAGATGGTACCTACATACCTATTTCTATGAGTGGCGCATATTTTTATACACTTAAGAAGCTCTTATCTATAATAATACAATCAAATGCCGGAAATAATCACTCGAATAATCAAAATTTCTTGCAGCGTCATATTCTGTTTCCTGCTCCTAATCTCAACCTTAGCCACAGCATTGGATGTCCTCTCACACACCGGCCAACTAAGTAAGTACCAAACTCTTACCAAATTCCAACTTAATCCAAGATTTCTCAACCAATCCAGAAATCAAACATCCAAGCTTAACAGCCTTTTCATTATTCACCAATGGAAGAAAGCTATCTCAAATCACTTACACCAATGGATCAAGTGATCAAATTTTAGTAATACACGGCCTTAAAGTGATCAGCATGATGTGGATCATGGCCGCACATGCAGCCGGGGCTTTTGGTGTCCTACCTATTTTCAATGAGGATGAAGGGAAACAGGCAAACGCAACTAATAAAATAATCAAAATTCAATAATGAATAGATTTTTTTCCAGTTTCAAACTAAATCTTATTCAGTATATTTACAAGCGGCTTATCTAGGCGTGGACACTTTCTTTTTTATTTCCGGATTTTTGCTGGCCTTTCAATATTTCAAAGGCCCAGCCAAAAAGCCTTTGATTGTCCAAGTTGCCTCGCTACCTGGAATTGCTTTGCATCGGTATTTAAGAGTCACTCCAGTTGTATTGATGTTTTACCTTTTTACAACATTTTTAATGAAATATATTGGAAGTGGTCCTTTGAAGCCAGCTATAAGTACTTACTATACTGAACCCTGCAAAGAAAATTGGTGGGCCGTATTTCTCTATATCCAAAACTACTATAATCCAACTGATTTGGTTGGTATTTTGGTTGCAATCAAAACTCATCATTATATACTGGTTTTTTAGTGTTGGACTCATTTATGGTACCTTTCGGCCGATTGGCAATTGTTCCTAATAGGCCTGGTTATCATGGTCGCAATGGCTTGGCAATTGAAACGAAATTTCAAACATTTGATGATGGGGATGGCGGTTCTCAATGGGCTATTTTTACTGTTGCCCATTTATTCTAAACTACAATTTCCAGATTTTGATGAGTGAGTCTTATGAATAAACCACTAGCCAACAAATTGTAAATGTTTTTCCCATATAGAATGAACGAAGAATATGATACCCATTCGAAATTAGTAACATATTTCATGGGTGTTACGTTGGGATGTTATTTGAGAACCCAAAAGGACAAACCTTATTTTTTCAGAAAAGTAATATTATTATTTAGTTTATATAATAATAGGATCCAGTTGACATATTGGATATTTTAGGGTTGGAACATATCAATGTGGTTATTATCCCTAATAACCCTTTTCGCTTGCACCATCGTTTTAAACGAAGTAAAAATACAAACCGATTCCCAATTGTCTAGAGCCCTTTTGGTATTGGTCAAGCCCTTTTGGTGCTTGGGTTTAGGATTTATTCTGTATTCTTGCAGTCACGGTTATGGAGGTGGGAAAACACCCAAAATTGGGTTAAAGTTTTAATATTGAACATGTTTTTAGGGGTTGTCAATTGGTGTTTAACCGCTGGGTGGATGCAGGTGGTCAGCAGGCTTACTTTTTGCATGTACATTTTGCATTTGCCAGTGATAATGTTGTGGGTGGTATCGAAAAGAGGCAGGGACCATTTTAGCGATTATACTATGGTAACAACACACTTTAAATTATTAAAATTCAACTAATCATTTTTCTAGTTTTACTATTTTTGTGGCCATTTGATAGTCACAATGATCGTATCAGCGATTTGGACTTTGATGTTTGAATCGCCTTTCATTGCCATTGAGAGACTGGTTTTTGGAGGATCGAGAAAACCGAGACAAAATAGAGAGTTGGGCAACAGCGCAGGTAATTGTTGGCTTGTTTTATCTTACATAAGTTTTTAAATAATGCATTTATGGAGCTCTCTATAAGAACTGTTGGCGCAAAAGACTCGTGACTAATCAGTTGGGTCAGAAAAAGTCTCATTTATTTTGTATTCAGGTATTCCACCACCTCCACCACTGGAACCAGGATCAGAAAAAATAACAATCGTCCATAAACAACCATATTAAGTGACGAATAAAATTAATTTTGATTAGCATTTTGTTTATTTTTTGAAACCAATATCCTAAACATAAAGATTTAAACTTCCAAATTTAGTTAAGACCTTCAATTCATAAATCCTGGAAGCTTCAAGTCACTGTGATCATTGGAAGTATTTTGCACAAGTGATTTTTAATAATTTTTGCATGCATCAACGTGAGAAAGATCTCAAATTTAGTTATTTGAAGCTCCAAATCAACTTCAAATGGAGTTTTCCACAAAGAATCAACTTTCTGGAAGTTTCAAGTCACTGTGATCATTGGAAGTATTTTGCCCAAGTGATTTTTGAAGATGTTGATAAGCTAGAAAATGATGGAAAACTGAAACTCTTGGTGAACTATGTAAATCACAACAATTTTGAGCACATATTCTGCTGTTCTTCTTACTCAGAAGCTATTAAGATTTTGGATTCAATTTTCATTGAACCTTGAAATGAAATATTTGCCAGACACTGCTCCTTACCTCTAGGAAGCAGCAATCTGGAGAGATTGTTGATCAGTACTTACAAGCACTTAAACATCTAAGTAAAGACTGTAACTTCAAAGCTGTCAACGCTGAAGAAAGTCAAAACAACTATATTAGAGATTCTTTCATCAGTGAATTGACTTAATCCCCCTACATTATTTTTAAATCTATCAGCAGACTGCAGGTAAATTGCAACAACGTCTAGACAATTTTCACCAGAAGATAGACTATTTCTATTAAAATAAGAAACCTTATTAAAAAAAAAACTCTCCTTCAAAGGGTTAAACCCTTTTCGATTTTAATTTCAAAATTTTCTCGAAACTTGTCAAAGATTTTGGAACAATTTCTTTTGAAATTGTAGCCTTTGATGAGGTCTTCAAAATGGTACTTTGTTGAAGTCGCTGGCATTTACGGTTTTTGAGAAAATCGAGTTTGAAATTTTTGACTAAATTTCAACTAAAACCCAACTTTGAGACTCAATTGCTCTAAAAGTATTTGTGTTATCAAACTCAATTTAGCACTGATTTATAGAGAATTTAATGCTCTTTCCAACCATATATAATTTATTTTGATTTGCTCAAAATTTATTGGAAGTATTGACGATTGCTCCTAACCTTGTCAGGATTTTTTAAAAATTTAGATCTGAAAATTGAGATTTTCTTTTTGATTTTTTTTCCCTTTTGAAATCGAGATTTGGAAATGATGTTAGAGTTTTTTTCGACTAATTTAGATCCGCTCTATCGATTGGAAAAGTCAAAATTCAAAAAATCTGAAAAATAAAAATTTCGATTTTTTCAAAAGGTTAAACCCCTTTGGATTTTAATTTCAAAATTTTCAAACTCAATTTTCTCGAAACCTGTCAAAGATTTTGGAACAATTTCTTTTGAAATTGTAGTCTTTGATGAGGGCTTCAAAATGGTACTTAGTTGAAGTCGCTGGCATTTACGATTTTTGAGAAAAACGAGTTTGAAGTTTTTGACTAAATTTCAACTAAAACCCAACTTTGAGGCTCAATTGCTCTAAAAGTATTTGTGTTATCAAACTCAATTTAGCACTGATTTATAGAGAATTTAATGGTCTTTCCAACCATATATAATTTATTTTGATTTGCTCAAAATTTAATGGAAGTATTGACGATTGCTCCTAACCTTGTCAGGATTTTTTAAAAATTTAGATCTGAAAATTGAGATTTTCTTTTTGATTTTTTTTTCCCTTTTGAAATCGATATTTGGAAATGATGTTAGAGTTTTTTTCGACTAATTTAGATCCGCTCTATCGATTGGAAAAGTCAAAATTCAAAAAATCTGAAAAATAAAAATTTTGATTTTTTCAAAAGGTTAAACCCCTTTGGATTTTAATTTCAAAATTTTCAAACTCAATTTTCTCGAAACCTGTCAAAGATTTTGGAACAATTTCTTTCGAAATTGTAGCCCTTGATGAGGGCTTCAAAATGATACTTAGTTGAAGTCGCTGGCATTTAGGGTTTCTGAGAAAATTGAGTTTGAAGTTTTTGACTAAATTTCAACTAAAACCCAACTTTGAGGCTCAATTGCTCTAAAAGTATTTGTGTTATCAAACTCAATCTAGCACTGATTTATAGAGAATTTAATTCTCTTTCCAACCATATATAATTTATTTTGATTTGCTCAAAATTTATTGGAAGTATTGACGATTGCTCCTAACCTTGTCAGGATTTTTTAAAAATTTAGATCTGAAAATTGAGATTTTCTTTTTGATTTTTTTTTCCCTTTTGAAATCGAGATTTGGAAATGATGTTAGAGTTTTTTTCGACTAATTTAGATCCGCTCTATCGATTGGAAAAGTCAAAATTCAAAAAATCTGAAAAATAAAAATTTCGATTTTTTCAAAAGGTTAAACCCCTTTGGATTTTAATTTCAAAATTTTCAAACTCAATTTTCTCGAAACCTGTCAAAGATTTTGGAACAATTTCTTTTGAAATTGTAGTCTTTGATGAGGGCTTCAAAATGGTACTTAGTTGAAGTCGCTGGCATTTACGGTTTTTGAGAAAATCGAGTTTGAAGTTTTTGACTAAATTTCAACTAAAACCCAACTTTGAGGCTCAATTGCTCTAAAAGTATTTGTGTTATCAAACTCAATCTAGCACTGATTTATAGAGAATTTAATGGTCTTTCCAACCATATATAATTTATTTTGATTTGCTCAAAATTTAATGGAAGTATTGACGATTGCTCCTAACCTTGTCAGGATTTTTTAAAAATTTAGATCTGAAAATTGAGATTTTCTTTTTGATTTTTTTTTCCCTTTTGAAATCGAGATTTGGAAATGATGTTAGAGTTTTTTTCGACTAATTTAGATCCGCTCTATCGATTGGAAAAGTCAAAATTCAAAAAATCTGAAAAATAAAAATTTCGATTTTTTAAAAAAGGTAAACCCCTTTGGATTTTAATTTCAAAATTTTCAAACTGAATTTTCTCGAAACCTGTCAAAGATTTTGGAACAATTTCTTCTGAAATTGTAGTATTTGATGAGGGCTTCAAAATGGTACTTAGTTGAAGTCGCTGGCATTTACGGTTTTTGAGAAAATCGAGTTTGAAGTTTTTGACTAAATTTCAACTAAAACCCAATTTTGAGGCTCAATTGCTCTAAAAGTATTTGTGTTATCAAACTCAATCTAGCACTGATTTATAGAGAATTTAATGCTCTTTCCAACCATATATAATTTATTTTGATTTGCTCAAAATTTATTGGAAGTATTGACGATTGCTCATACCCTTGTCAGGATTTTTTGAAAATTTAGATCTGAAAATTGAGATTTTCTTTTTGATTTTTTTTCCCTTTTGAAATCGAGATTTGGAAATGATGTTAGAGTTTTTTTCGACTAATTTAGATCCGCTCTATCGATTGGAAAAGTCAAAATTCAAAAAATCTGAAAAATAAAAATTTCGATTTTTTAAAAAAGGTAAACCCCTTTGGATTTTAATTTCAAAATTTTCAAACTCAATTTTCTCGAAACCTGTCAAAGATTTTGGAACAATTTCTTCTGAAATTGTAGTATTTGATGAGGGCTTCAAAATGGTACTTAGTTGAAGTCGCTGGCATTTACGGTTTTTGAGAAAATCGAGTTTGAAGTTTTTGACTAAATTTCAACTAAAACCCAACTCTGAGGCTCAATTGCTCTAAAAGTATTTGTGTTATCAAACTCAATCTAGCACTGATTTATAGAGAATTTAATGCTCTTTCCAACCATATATAATTTATTTTGATTTGCTCAAAATTTATTGGAAGTATTGACGATTGCTCATACCCTTGTCAGGATTTTTTGAAAATTTAGATCTGAAAATTGAGATTTTCTTTTTGATTTTTTTTCCCTTTTGAAATCGAGATTTGGAAATGATGTTAGAGTTTTTTTCGACTAATTTAGATCCGCTCTATCGATTGGAAAAGTCAAAATTCAAAAAATCTGAAAAATAAAAATTTCGATTTTTTAAAAAAGGTAAACCCCTTTGGATTTTAATTTCAAAATTTTCAAACTGAATTTTCTCGAAACCTGTCAAAGATTTTGGAACAATTTCTTCTGAAATTGTAGTATTTGATGAGGGCTTCAAAATGGTACTTAGTTGAAGTCGCTGGCATTTACGGTTTTTGAGAAAATCGAGTTTGAAGTTTTTGACTAAATTTCAACTAAAACCCAACTTTGAGGCTCAATTGCTCTAAAAGTATTTGTGTTATCAAACTCAATCTAGCACTGATTTATAGAGAATTTAATTCTCTTTCCAACCATATATAATTTATTTTGATTTGCTCAAAATTTATTGGAAGTATTGACGATTGCTCCTAACCTTGTCAGGATTTTTTAAAAATTTAGATCTGAAAATTGAGATTTTCTTTTTGATTTTTTTTTCCCTTTTGAAATCGAGATTTGGAAATGATGTTAGAGTTTTTTTCGACTAATTTAGATCCGCTCTATCGATTGGAAAAGTCAAAATTCAAAAAATCTGAAAAATAAAAATTTCGATTTTTTCAAAAGGTTAAACCCCTTTGGATTTTAATTTCAAAATTTTCAAACTCAATTTTCTCGAAACCTGTCAAAGATTTTGGAACAATTTCTTTCGAAATTGTAGCCCTTGATGAGGGCTTCAAAATGATACTTAGTTGAAGTCGCTGGCATTTAGGGTTTCTGAGAAAATTGAGTTTGAAGTTTTTGACTAAATTTCAACTAAAACCCAACTTTGAGGCTCAATTGCTCTAAAAGTATTTGTGTTATCAAACTCAATCTAGCACTGATTTATAGAGAATTTAATTCTCTTTCCAACCATATATAATTTATTTTGATTTGCTCAAAATTTATTGGAAGTATTGACGATTGCTCCTAACCTTGTCAGGATTTTTTAAAAATTTAGATCTGAAAATTGAGATTTTCTTTTTGATTTTTTTTTCCCTTTTGAAATCGAGATTTGGAAATGATGTTAGAGTTTTTTTCGACTAATTTAGATCCGCTCTATCGATTGGAAAAGTCAAAATTCAAAAAATCTGAAAAATAAAAATTTC